AGGTTATATGTAGATCCTTATAATCGGTTCCCCCTTTGTACCCCACCTTCCCTTCACCCTCCCGGTATCACCATTCTCACCACTGCTCCTGAGGGGTTCATCTGTCTTGTATTCCCTGTGTTTCCAGTTCACATCTGTACCAATGTACATCCTCTGATCCAGCTGTATTTGTAAGGTAGAATTGGGATCATGATAGTGGGTGGGGAGGAAGCATTTAAGAATTAGAGGAAAGTTGTATGTTTCATCGGTGCTATACTACACCCTGACTGGCTAGTCTCCTCCCCGCGACCCTTCTGTAAGAGGATGTCCAGTTGCCCACAGATGGACTTTGGGTTCCCAATCTGCACTTCCCCTCATTCACAATGAAATGATTTTTTTGTCTTTGGTGCCTGATACCTGATCCCTTCAACACCTTGTGGTCACACAGGCTGGTGTGCTTCTTCCATGTGGGCTTTGTTGCTTCTGAGCTAGATAGCCTCTTACACCATCCTTGCCACTGATTTTGGATCACTTGTTTTTCCCTTGTCCCTGGGTTGGTCACCACCACCTCCTTACCCCCACCTGCCCCTCTCCCATGTCACCATGAACCATGGGTCCCCTTGTTTTCTCCTCCAGACTATTCATCCATCCTATCTTATCTAGATAAACCTGCAGAGATAATATGCACAAAAAAACAAGACAGAGCAAAATAAAGCAACGAAAGAAAACAAAACGATGACAACAAAATGACAAAAAATTAAATAAATAAACAAAATTAAAATAAAAAAAAAAGAAAAACCTGTAAATAGTTCAAGGTCTGTTTGTTGACCTCTAGGAGTGTCCTCCAGTGGAGTCCGATGGGGTGCCATGCCCTGGTCCCAAAGTCTGTCCTTGGCACTCCCTTGGGACCTCCCTGCTCTGCTGCTCTGCCTCAAGCCGTTTCGTGTATTTCTCGGTGTGGTGGGATCAGATCGGGGGCAATCCCGACTGTGTGTCCAGTGTTGTCCCCGGTAGGGCCATAGGTCAGTGAGGGAAGTCGTGAGACCAGTTTATTAATGGTTTCCATGGACAGGAAGGAGAGGGAAAGGGAGAATCCTGACCTACAAGACACTGAGTTTCTGTTGAGAGTGATGAAAAATTTGAGACATGATGACGACCGGCTAACATAATGAATATACATAATGTCACTGAATTATACCTATAAAATATTCAAATGGCAAATATTTTGTTATGCCCATTAATGAATAAATAAAATTTGGTATATACGTAAAATAGAGTATTACTCAGCTGTAAAAAGAATCAAGGTTTTGATATGCTATGCAGTGCAGTGAATTATTTAATATGGCTCTTCTAGCCATAGCCTGTGAGCCCCACCAAAAGGCTTTTGTCTAATGGCTCAGGACCAGTGGTGTGAGTGGCGATACTGGGAGGGTAGAGGGAGAGTGGGTTGGAAAGAGGGAACCAATTACAAGGAACTATATGTGACCTCCTCCCTGGGGGATGGACAACAGAAAAGCGGGTGAAGGGAGTGGTCGGATAGGGCAAGATATGACAAAATAATAATTTATAAATTATCAAGAGCTCATGAGGGAGAGGGGAGCAGGGAGGGAGGGGAAAATGAGGACCTAATGCCAGGGGCTTAAGTGGAGAGGAAATGTTTTGAGAATGATGAGGGCAACGAATGTACAAATGTGCTTTACACAATTGATGTATGTATGGATTGTGATAAGAGTTGTATGAGCCCCTAATGAAATGATTTTAAAAAAAAAGAAGGTGGGGGGTGGTACTGACTGGATTCTGTGATTCAGTTGTGAGTAATTGATAAATAGGATTCATTGTGATTGCCATCCTGCTGGGTATAAAACAATTCATCTCAGAAGCAGAATTCCACTACAAACAGAGAGAACCAGGAGTAGGTCACTTTCTTTAGACCATGAGGTTCCTGAGCATTGAATCTCCTTGATCCAGGAGAGACCTGTGAGTAACAGCAGACCTGCATATTAGAGCACAAGCTAGTATGGACTTATCACCTCCCGAAGCAAGTACAGTTAGTGCCTTCAGGGAGGCGACTGGCCTGTGGAACCAGATGCCTCCCAGCACTTAAGTTGAGGAGCTAGGTTTGTTGATCCATAGAGCTAGAGTTCCTTCCGACGGAGGCTGATGGTGGAGTAGTGTGCCCTTTTATAATCATTATTAGCCCTAAAAGAGCTTTGTAACATTGCTTGTGTAGGGCATTGGTCAATGGTTTTGTGGCGAGAGGCCTAAGACCAGAAAGAGGCCTGCCTGAGAGCATTGGTGAGAAGAGGCTCTGCTGTCCGAATGTTTTTACCTTAGAGCATTAACCTGCTAATTTCCGGAAGACTCTCGTAGTTGTATTTGTGAGCTCTTTGTGGCCCTGGCAATGAAGTATCAAATCCAACTGAAAAGTAGAGTGCATGGAAGGGACCGTGCTGTTAGAATTGATAGTAGGAAAAATGTACAAATGTGCTTGACACAATGGATGTATTGATTGTGATAAGAGCTGTACAAGCCCCCAGTAAAATGATTTTAAAAAGAAAGAAACAAAAAGAGTTGGCAGGTGGCCGCAGGTCTGACCTCAGCCTCGCAGGAATTTGCTTTGGGTAGCTAATCATGATGTTTTTCCTCCCCCCTTGTAACCTTAGAGAAGGTCAGATGCCAATGATGTGAGTCATTCTTTTTCTACATGTTGTCTCTCAGTTGAACCTTGAGATTTCCTTTCATCTCAAGGTTATCTATAGTTTGTTGTGATCCACGTAGTCAATAAAACACAAAGAAGCGTCTTTCTATTATTCTCTGCTTTGAGTCAAGATCCATCTGACATCTGTAATGACACCCCTTTTTCGACACCCTCTTCTGAATCTGGCCTGAACCTCTGGCAGCTCCTTGTCAATGTACTGCTGGATACACTGTTGGATGATCTTCAGCAAAAATGTATTTGCATGTGATATCAATGATATTATTCTGTAGTTTGAGCATCCTGTTGGGTCACCTTTCATTGGAATGGGAACACACATGGATCTCTTCCAGTCAGTTGGCCAAGGAGCTGTCTTCCAAATTTCCTGGCATAGACCACATATCTAGTAGGTAGCAAAGCTGTATTTTCTTTCCTTAGAAGATAACTTAAATAGCTTCTTCTTCTTCTTCTTTTTTTTTTTTTTTTTAAGGCTGTGAGATACAGAAAAGCATTAGACTTGGAGGTAGAAGAACTGGGCTTTGGGGGTTTGTTTTTTGTTTGTTTTCTGGCTCCAGTGTATCTTTGGAGAAAACGTTTCTGTTCTCTGGACGTCTGCCTTCTTGTCTGTAATAAGAGGGAGCAGTATCCTACGTATATTGCAAATAACATATACAATACACTTTTATTTATTGCCAAAGGGGGAAGGACAGCTTATTCCCATAAGCATGCTATCCCAATTTATTTCTATGTTGCTGACTCTATTTGACACCAAGAAGACACAATTAAACTATGAGACAAGGAGACCTAACATAATCGAATGGTTTCACTTAAAATAATCTGATAGGGATTTTGAATTGAACTGTTGAGCTAATATGCTATAATTAATAGAAACAAATGTAATTTTGATTGTGTACTTTCTGAGTACTGAGTACTGAGGAAATAAAAAATCTGATCCATGGTTTTGTAAGGCAGTAGTGACTCCATGACAGGCCGAGCCTTTTAAAATAGGCCTAAGTTTCATTTTTTTCCCCTCTTTCCCTCCAGCTTTACGTTTCGTTTCTCTAACAGCCTTGAGTTTCACTCCCCTACCAAAGCCACTCTCTCCCCCGAAATGATGCTGACCACACCTGCCAAGGCCCAGTGATCACAATGGTGCTGGCCGCATCTGGAAAAGTTCTGAGTGAACACAATTGGAACGTTCCGAGAGTGGAGACAGTTAACCAACAAGACCTGCACAACCGATTGTCTCTAAACGAAGTCATTGAACTATGGGAGGGGAGGGTGAGATAGTCTCACTCAGGGGGGATAGTTTCACCCAGTTTATGTAAGCTGTAGAGAGTAGAAAAGCTTGGCTTGTGCCCCAGGCCGGGGTCCTTGTCTTTGGTGACCACTGCGTTGGTGCCTTAGCACTTGGGCTCTAGCTCGAGCTGGTCAATAAACTCCTTTGTTGTTTGCAGCCTCGGTGACTCTGCCTCTCTGTTCCTGGGGCCACGGGAAAGCCGGCAGTAACAGTTTCTGGGTCATGACTTATCCCTTTTAACATTTTCAGACTATTTTTCTACAGCTAAGTGGAAGATGAAAGAAAATGAACAGAAAGTCAGGATTGACCTGTACTATTGTGGGGGCAGGGTGGGGGGATGAATGAAGCTGAAATTCACTTCTGGAAATGGCGAGAGATATGTCCTGTATGTTTTACTTCATTTCATCATTTCACAGCTTAGATGCGTGACACATTTCTGTGGAAAAAATACACTACGTGCAGCCATGACCTCTACCAGCTCTCGTCCTCTTGTCTGGAATTATTTTATGCCTGGTTTCTGAATTACAAGCTCTCCCTGTCCCAGGCGTCCCAGAAAGAAGGCCAGGAGAGGACAGCCGTTGACTTGCCATGACAAGAAATAGGAGAATCCAGACCAGGGCGGCGGCGGATCACTTGCACCAGTTGCTTCAAGCCAGTGATGGGTGTAGGTGAACATCCTGGTTACTAGAGCAGCAGGCCCTCCGGAGTGCACCGCCAACCAGGGTAAGCCCAGGCTGGACTCTGAGACGCGGCTCTGGCTTTGAGAACAATCCCCTGGCTTAGAGGGATTTTCCTCCTTCCTCAAGGGAAAGAACCCCCATTGATATCAAGCCCCTCTTCCCATCTGGCTTCCCTGCTCAAGGTCACTGCAGGAGAGTCCCAGTGTTGACAAACACCGGGGAAGGCAAAAGCCGTAAGCTGAGCCCGGTCACATTGCCCCTTGTGATACAGTTTTATTTTTAACTTTGAAACACTTGAACTATTCCTGTTGAAGTTTTCTCTCCTTTCCCTGCCTCCGCACCAGACCCCTGTCCTCGGCTGCAGTGGAGGCTCCTGGCCACCTCGCTAGGGATCAGCTCACTCGCACAATCCAGCCATGCAGGTGTAGCCCATGGGGACTTGGCCATCGCTGGGAAGGTAAGCACTGCACACGTGAGTGGTTGTTCATTTGGAATGATGATCCCCTCTGCTGGGAGAAGAGGGTTGTTCACGATTTTAGTTGTATACCGCCTGGGAATGGGACTCACCCGTGTGGAGAGTCCTGCTTTGAATCTAAAATCTGAGAGCAGAAAGAGATTTCCTGCTTTGCAACAGCTAAGGAGCTTCCCCCTACCATCAACCAGAGTCTTGGCTGTGTGACCTTGGCCTGGGCTGTTGGAGCAAAGGGAGGGGGCGGGGAAACGAGGAGCACCTGGAACCAGGATTTCTGCTTCCTCATGCTGGCAATGAGTTTGTTTGTTTGTTTTTGAAAACTCCAACGCTGTGTTCTTTTCACTGAGCAACACTACTAAGTTCATTGCAAGTCCTTTTCTTGCAGTTTAAATTCCATCCCCGGTGGCCCACTAGCTGTTAATGTCACCTCTGCCTTGGGAGGCTTTTCACTAACCATATTCCCCAAGTCTGGCTCTCTTGTCCCAGTTCTTCTAAAGCCAAATGTGTCCCTAGGTTAGAAGGGAAAGTAGTTGATAAGTCAAAAAATGTATACTCGCTTAGGCACCAAACCCCGAAAGCAACTACCAGCTTGGAACGCGCACCTTGTTCACTAAAATGGTTAATGATACTTAACGGAGCAAAAGCTTCCCAGGCCTTTTCTTCCCAGCGTTTGGGATCGCTGCAGAGTGCTGCATGCAGAGGTCGGAGCTCGGTTTGGAGTTTCCTGTTTTTTTCTGAGCCTGGCATTAGTGTGATAGCTCAAAGTTCAGCTAAGGACATCCTGGGAAATGGCTTCTTGCAGCCAAAGGGATTGTGCACACCCTGAACTTTGACGTGGACAGGCCAACACACCCATGCCAAGTGAAAGGAGACCTAAAGTAGCTACCCAGACACCCTAACTCCTGGCTCCTCCCTCCCTGCCTCAGCAACCTCCAGCTGGGCCCCATGACTCAGCTCTAGATGTCGGGTTATGATTACACCTGTTGGCTAGGCACCTTCAACATCACCATGAACCATAATCGCGGAATTTTGTTTCATTTTGCCAAGGTTTTCCAAGGTACAGGGGGCTCCGAGGTAGACCCTAGGATGCTGGCTGGGGAATAACCAAGTGAACAGGTGGACTCACAGCTGCCCCTAGATAATCCAGCTAGTTAAGCGCTTTCTTGGCCAATACCAACTAGTAATTTAGAATACTGATAGGAATTCTACAAGCACCAGGCGTGAGAATTGACTCATTAAATAACTTTTTTAAAAACGAGTGGAGAGATTTCCGACACATGCAAGAAACTGCAGATGGTGGAGTGGGATAGATTTGGGTGGAGGTGGGATATCTTTAGGGTACATGGATGGTGCTGGAATCATACCCACAAAGCCCGGAATTACAAAATGGATGTGAGAATTATCCTCAGCCAACTGATTGTGTTCAAAGTTCGAAAGGGAGAGAAAAGACTTGAATGTAATTTCCTATGTCTTCTTTCTTTATAACTAAATATCTCCACACCAGGGCAACAGGTTAAGATTGTGTAATTAAAGCAATTGTTTGGCTGGATAGTAGGTTACAAGTTAAAGAATATCTTTAACCTTTAATATTTTTTCCTTTTGGAGTAGTGGTGGTAGTGAGGGCAGTGACCTTTCATTTTTAATCATGTCACTTTGACTTCATGTTAATTAACTTTTGCTAGATCCATTGAATCTGGATCTGGACCCACTCCCTGGCATCACCTTGCAGCCAAACACCAGGTCTCTCAAGTAAATGGAAACTCTCGTGAGAAGCATACTCCCCAGAACAATCAACCACGCATGTGCAAAAGGGCAGCATTTGCCAGAAACCAAACAGAAGGCAGTAAGAAAGCACATGGCATCAGGGGACCCAGGGAGGATGCAGGAAGAGTGTTGTTTACATTGAGGGACTTCTATCTCATGTTCTGAAGCAAAATGTGTATAAATTGTTGACTAGAAAACCAATTAGCTCTGTCAGCTTTCACCCAAGCCACACGAAATGAAAGAATTTGGGGACATTTCTCTTTCTTTTTTTGTTAACTAATTGCCATGGCTGATCACCTGAGAGGACAAAATTGCAAGTTGCTGACATAATGTCAGAGCCACTGACCAAGAGAGGGTCTCTGGCCTAAAAATATAGCCTTGACATCAACGCTGCCTGCACACTGACTTTAACATGATAGGAAAGGTTGCTAAAACTATTGTCTGTTAACCCCGCTCCCTATTGCTTGAGTCAGTGATACCAGTACATGCAGTCTCATGACCTTGTTGACCAGTGACGTTTTGGTCACTAACTCACTTCCGACCTCTGTCTTTCTTGCCCTCAGTGCCATCTTAGCAGCTCATGTGACTGCAGCCCCCTTGACACAGGTAGCGGTATGTGGTCCTGGGATTCCTAAGGAAGGCTCTCAAAAGAGCATCAAGGTGTGCTATACAGAACAACAACAAGAAACAGAACTGAGTAAATCAACTTGACTTTGCAACTAACTCTAGGGGAGACTTTACTGTTCTTAGCCTCAGTTTCTCTGTTAAGAAAGGAATGGGTTAAACTAGACCAACCATTGCCTTTCAAAGTGTAGTCTTTGGTCCATCACCATCACCTAGAGCTTATTAAATGTATAGACTCTCAGGCCCCATCTGAGTCTTAGTGAATCAGAGACTACAATTGTAAAAAGATTGTTCAGGAGATTCATATACCCATCGACGTTGGAGAAGCACAGTAATAGAAGATGTATGGTTATCTGCTTCATTCAGACTCCTGGTTCCTGACTGCACCTGTTTAGAACACGTTCTGTAACTCCCTGGAAGAAAGAGGCAGCATTCAAGGAGCCCTGTTATACCTCCAGCTCTCAGGAGTTTTCCATTCAATTAAGTAAGGCTACTTTAACCTAATTAAATTGAAGAAGTGTGCTTTTCATCCTTAAAAAAAAAATCTTAAATTAGCTTATAGCTGACATCACTCCTGAATTTGTTTCAGATTTTTCTAAAGGATGCTTCCTTCTGGGTCCTATTCAGTTGAATGTAATTCAATCCTCCTCAATAAGCGTGTGGGCCAGGAAGAGTGTTAGCTGTCCTCATGCTCATAGTCTCTCAGTCCCACTCACTAGTCCTGGTGAGGTATTCTTCCTTTTTATTAATATTCCAGTCAGCTCCATTCACTGTCTGAGCAGACCTCACTAGTCAGACCGCTCCTACAACGTTTGTGTGCTACACCAGAATCTCTCTCCCTCACCTTTCAGATTGGAGCAGGGTTTTGAATTTGTTCATTCCATTTTGGACACTTCACTCCTACCCCCACCCCAAGAAGTTTGATTTCCACTCCAGATAGTCTGACTCACAGTCTACATTGTAATAACATTCCCACGTGAGTCTGAGAGATACCCGGGTGATTCTTGTTAAGCTCGTAACTTAAAATGTAGATTCTTTTTAAAAAAATCACTTTATTGGGGGCTCATACAACTCTTATCACAATCCATACATACATCAATTGTGTAAAGCACATTTGTATATTGGTTGCCCTCATCATTCTCAAAACATTTCCTCTCCACTGAAACCCCTGGCATCAGGTCATTTTTTTCCCCTCCCTCCTCGCTCCCTCCTCCCTCATGAACCTTTGATAATTTATAAATTATTATTTTGTCATATCTTACACTGTCCGACGTCTCCCTTCACCCACTTTTCTGTTGTCCATCCCCCAGGGAGGAGGTTATATGTAGATCCCTGTAATCTGTTAACCCTTTCCACCCCACCCTCCCTCCACCCTGCCAGTATTGCCACTCTCACCACTGGTCCTGAAGGAATTATCTGTCCTGGATTCCCTGTGTTTCCAGTTCCTATCTGTACCAGTGTGCATCCTCTGATGTAGCCAAATTTGTAAGGTAGATTTGGGATCATGATAGTGGGGTGGGGTGGGAGGAGGAAGCATCTAGGAACTAAAGGAAAGTTGCATGTTTTTCATCGTTGCTACCCTGAACCCTGACTGGCTCCTTTCCTCCCCAAGACTCTCCCATAAGGGGATGTCCAGTTGCCTACAGATGGGCTTTGTGTCCCCACTCTGCACTCCCCCTCATTCACAATATGATTTTTTGTTCTTTGATGTCAGATACCTGATCCCTTCGACACCTCATGATCACACAGGCTGGTGTGCTTCTTCCATGTGGGCTTTGTTGCTTCTCAGCTAGATGGCCACTTGTTTACCTTTAAGCCTTTAAGACCCTAGAAACTATATCTTTTGATAGCCGGACTCCATCAACTTTCTTTACCACATTTTCTTATGCACCCGCTTTGTCTTCAGTGATCTTGTCGGGAAGGTGAGCATCATGGAATGCCAGTTTAATAGAACAAAGTTTTCTTGCATTGAGGGAATACTTGAGTGGAGGCCCAATGTCCATCTGCTACCTTAATACTAAACCTATAAATATATCCACTTAGATCTATTTCCCCATCCTCATATATAAATATATTTACATATGTGCATGCCTTTATTTAGACCTCTATAAATGCCCTTTGCCTCCTAGCTCTTTCCTGTATTTCCTTTTACTTTCCTCTTGTCCCACTATCATGCTCAGCCTTCATTTGGGTTTCAGTAATTCCCCTCGGTTACATTACCCTTGATCACACTCTACCAGGCCTCCTATACCCTCCTAACCACCGATTTGGATCACTTGCTGTTCACTTGTCCCTGGGTTTGTTAACACCACTTCCTTTCCCCACACCTCCCCCTGTCCCATGTCCCCACGGAACTGTCGGTCCCATTGTTTTCTCTTCCAGACTGTTCATCCAGCCTATCTTATTTAGACAGACCGGCAGAGATAATAACATGCACAAAAACAAGACAGAGCAAAACCAAGCAACAAAAGAAAGCAAAACACTAACAACAAAAAGACAATGACAAACAAAACAAAACAAAAAACCAACACAGCAACATCAAAAAAGAAAAGCTTGTAGTTAGTTCAAGGACTGTTTTTTTGGCTTTTAGGAGTGTT